TTCTTTTTTTTAATACTAAATCTCTCAATATCTCAAAAGTTACATAAGATTTCGATTAATTTAAAATCAAATCATCTTAAACCAAAAAACTCTCTCAATGCTTATTTTTTTATTCACAAAACTAAAATTTAAAATTCTAGTTAAAGAGATTCTAATTTCTTCCATTCAAATAAATAAATAGTTGGTTTAAAACTTCATCTTTGATACTAGAGAAACTCATTTTCCACTTTCCATATTCTTTCCCAGCCTCCCTGGGTCAATCTCCGGAAAGTCAAAGACAATGGCATTTTTCACAATTCACACTCTGGTTTCTTAGGATTGTTTCCCTCATTTAAAGTAATAATATTTATTATCCGTTTTCTCCGCCTTTTCTTCGGAAAAAAAATTAAAAATAAAAAATTACCTATTAATTGCATTTCTTTCAGAAATATATTCTATTCTTAAATTTTTTTTTCTAATATTTATTTATTTATAGAATAGCTGTTATTAATTACATAATTACTTTTTAAAAAATCATAATATTACTTTTTTAACAATATTCAAATTATAAATAAATATTAACAAATATCAACCGTTAAAATTTATTATCAATATCAAGTATTCCGAACGACCCATTCGTTGTCACTAAGTTGTTTCCCACAAAGATCGACTATTGAGACCTTTATGAATAAAGAATGTGGGCTTAAAGTTTAATTTCATTGCATTAAACCTGGTGCCATATTGGGCCTGCTAATAAACTTTGCCTTGTGGTTTGGATTTGCAGACGGGGAGACCCCTTTTCTACCCAAATAACAGCCATATTGGGCCTACTAATAACGGCTTTCTCTCCTTTAATTCAACTTCCGGTTCTTTCACCGCCCTTCCGTTCTTTTATGTTGACCATGTATGTTGTAATGATGATACTGTGTGCCATACCACTAATTGCTGATGTTAGTCTTCAAGGGACGGGAGTTCGTTTCCACTTGCATTGGAGTGAAATTATGAGGACTAGTTCCATCTTGACAGGTTTACTAGCGGTAATTTCACTCATTTCAATTAACAAACCATATATTGCCTTGGTCTCATTCCTTGTGTGGCTTTTCTTCGCCAATCACCTTATTCACAACTTGATTTCGGTCTTAAACCCACCAAGATTACCCATTGCTATCAATACCAATTCTACCATCGATACCAATTCTGCTAATAGGGTATTTGATATACTGAAAAATTGGGCAACAAACTTGTTTCATTGGTGTAAAGAGCGCATGCAACAGTTTCAGTGATCACATTAGTGTCGCATTAACAGATAGATTCCATGAGTGTGAAGAATCTATTTGATTGTCACATTAGTGTTGTTGTTCTTTTTTTTTTTTTTTTAATGTGATGTGATATGTATTGGATATAATTTGCAATCTATGTAATATGTGTGTTTTTCTCAACAGAAAATTCTATTATCTTTTATGATATTTTTGCCTTTCGCCATAACAGGACAAGTCACTATTTGTATTGAACTAACACTATTTGTATTGAACCAACACTATTTGTCTTTAATTAATGTTATGAATTTCCTTTTAAGTATAAAAAAAAATATGTTTTTTTAACAAAGTGTAATGTAATGTGTTGAGAGACTAGACATCAAGGGTTATTGGACTAGAAATCAACTTTTAAAAAAGGCTTTTATTGAAAAAGTGGTTTAGAAATTATTGTACAGTTTGTTAAAAAGATTATACAAAAAATTGATAAATTTTGTAATAAAATTATGTTCAGTTGTTAGTTTTTTTATGTTTGTTAACATAGAAAAGATTAATAAGAAAATTGTCAAGTTAATCTCACATGATGAAAGTTTTTAATTGTGCAATTAATAAATTAAAATCAACTTTAAAATTTTCTATACAAATGAAAAAAATAAAATTAATGCATCCTAAGCCTACATGTTAAAGACCCTTTAAAAAATTGAATCTATTTAGTGTCTTACCATATAATATTGCAAGGGTAAAATCGCATCGATGGCTGAATGACTATTTTATTTTATTTATTTATGTACAAAAAAGAGCAACAAAGATTCAGTTCACCTTCCGCCTCTTTACTTCAGTCCTGACCCATTTTCCTTCATTTTCAGTGCGTGATTGGTGGGTTTAATTTGCCCCCCTTGCATCTGTTGCCTTTTAGATTACTTGGTTATTATGTGATAAAATAAGAATTGGACTCTAATGGGCCTTACAACCAACAGAAAAGATGAAGTGAGAATTGGGCTATAATAGGCCTTGCAAGAAGTAACAACTATTATCATCAAAAGTCCCGAGTGAGAATAATTTTTTGTTTCTATTGCTTTAGCCTTGACCAAGAAAACTTTAGTAGATTAAAATTTTAAGTTGAAAGTCCCGTTTTCAAATACTGATGCAAGAGAAAGGTTGTAATTTAAACATCTATTGTTTTCTTAAACCATTGCACCAAGGACTCTACCCTTAACATTTTTCAACTACATTTGCAAGCAAATGTATAGTTGGGCAGAGAATATTAGATCCAGCTTCTATTCAAATAAAATTAATTGTTTCGATTAAGTTGTGGACTAATTAAACATTTCACTCAAATCAAAACTCACTACAAAAAATAAAATGTGTTAGGTGTAAACCTCCATAATATTACACATTGGGAAAGCAACTCCAAAAAGAAAGCCCTGATGTACGTGGAGTACCATAATTTGGGTTTTTATCCCTTTGAATGGTCCAAAAAAACTAAAGTGACTCCTAATTTTCTCCCTTTTCTCTCTCTTCTCTAGACATGTCCAGCCTTTGCCTTAACCCTCTCCAGATCTTGCCTTTTTTTGAGTGCTTAGAAGCCTCCAGGCTTCTCGAGTTTTTGATACTTGAGCAGTCGGGGGGCTGCTCAAGCATGGTGGAGCCGGTCAACTGTGCTCCTATATCCGGTGTCCATTTTAGATGGTCTGTCGGTTCTTTTGTGGCCCTGGTGGTGGCCTTTGCTTTACTTTCTTTTTGTTTCTTGTTTTTTGTTTGAGTTTTCTCAGATCTGGGGGGCCAACAAGCCAATCATGAAGAATTTCGGGACTGTTGCCGCTTACTTTAAAGTTATAGCCTCGAGATCCTGGAGAACAGGGGTCATTTATGCGAGAGTAGATGAAAGGGTGTCCAGATCTTTGGAACGACCGACCAAAGGAAGCTGTCAATTTGTTTCCTTAACGGTTGATCGTGTGGAATGCTCACTGTCCTCCTTTATCTGTTTATGTTGAACTTGATCTATTTTTCATTTTTTCTCCGGTTGTACTTAATCTGTTTGTAATTTCATCTATGTCATCTGAATTTCTTTGTAGATACCGTATGGCTTTGTTGAAATGATAAGCATTTAACTGAGTTCAAAAAAAAAAAAA